TTTTATCTGGGAACAGAAAATGGGATTTAGATAATCTGGAAAGTGTAGAATTCCTCGCTTCTAACCCTATTCTTACACCACTAATCAAGGTGGCCCACACTGAATGGCAGCTCAAATCACGTCCCCTTTGTTAAGGGTCAAAATTTCACTCCTTATCCTCAATATCTATAGCACTAATCATTGCACAATATCACAATAATAGCACTTGAAGTGATTCAAATCCCACTATAAAGCTTGCAAGACAACAGAAGCAAAAGTGACCATCAACCACGGGCAGTAAGTAAGGGTAAGCTGGTGAGGACAAGAGAAAGTCAGATATCCCTTAACCTTGGGTAAGCTGTTTCAGCTTATCAAGGCTGCTGAAGAATTTGCTAAGCAAGAGGCTTACACATTCCCTGCATCTTGTATTCTTTAGGATGAGAAACAAAGTAGAAGAGGAATAGCCAAAAGCAAACAGATGAAGGGGGGCGGGGGAGAAGAAAAGGACAATCGCCCACTAAGTAATAGAGGTTCCTGGGCCAGGAGTCACCTTGGCAAATCCTATCTTGGAGCCTCCAATTGTTCAAGCAAGGCTGCCAACCATGTGTCCTAGTTGCCCACAAATAACACCCTTGGAGTGGAATTACTCTCCTACCAGAGCTTCATTTTTTCCAAACTTTTCTTCCCTCCATGTGGTTGCCCAAACCGATTCATGTGCTTACTGGCATGTTATGAAACATGGAAACAATTAGAGACCACATTCTAGGGCACGAGAGAATGACTCGCTACAGAATCAATGAACTATGCAGAACTTGAGAGGATTTGGCAAAAAAGATGGAAATTGTAGAATAAGACCTACTAACAGTATCTCATGTCACACACCACGTTCTACAAGGCTTTAAACTGATCTGTGTGTTTTCAGGCAACGATTGTACTTTACTTTCAAAATCTGCAGTTTATAGCCTTATATTTTGTTTCTTTATATTTCCAAATGACACTCAGAGAATATTCAATGTACACATTCTCTCTTCAGGGTTTGAGAGCTGAAAGCACACTATAAAAATAGTCTTCTAAGTTAAGTTTGGAATTCTTGCAAGGCCACATTTGGGGGGGATTATTTGAAAATTAAAGAACTTAAGTTTCCAAAAGACCAATTTGAGTCTTAAGTCATCACTCTTGGAAGGGCTTCTTTAGCCAATGAAATGTTAAGAAAGGTCAGTTTTTAACAAAAGGCTAGTGAAACTTCTAATACATGCTAATGAACCCAAGAGCCTTTTGTGCCAAGTTCTCTGTTCTAACTTGGCAAAGGTTTAAGCACTGCTACTTTGTCATCCAAAGGCCTGAGTAAGACGCAAAGCACAATGCTAGAAAACACGGGACACGGGTAGTAAGGAGGCAATTCCCTAGCACTGTCAAGTAAATAAGAGGATGGGGAGGGGTAATGCAAAACCGAATCAAAAGGAAACATTGTGTCAAGAATATATTATCTTTAGTGACAATTACTACTACATGTAATTCATGTGATATTACTATTTTTATATTGCATTGTTTGAAGATTATGGTTGCAGTGGAAGCCACAGCCAGAAGTCCTGCGGTCCACGTGCCGACTGATTAACGATTCCCTGCATCAGTGTCTCGATTCTGCAGATTCTGTCCTGGGGAAGGCAAGGGCAAAAGAAGCCCATGTTCTGAGCTCTGTTTGATCACAGTACATGGGTGTTTCACTGGAAATGGTGGGCAGAATTCACCATGAGCAGTGACTGTGAACCTGGTCAGGATTCACCGGCACCCACAGAGAACAAACACATTGCATTTGGGAATAAAACCTGAACTATTTGAGAGCAGCTTTAGGGGAAGCTGATGTTGTTCTGGTACATCCTCCTAGTTCTCTGTCTCAACAAAACACTAACCGCTGAGATTCATTGAGGTGACTTGTCATATTCCTTACCTTGGTTAATGCCACAATAATTCTTCTATGTAATTTAATAGGAGCAAATGAGACTTTCGGGGATGCCGGTAACGTGTTTATTGTCACACAGCTAGTAAGCACTATGGCTGGGATCTAAACCCAAACATTTGACTTCAAGGCACCCCTCCTTAGGACTGTGTCATATAATTCCCTTCTCTCTGATGGTGGTATCCCTAGACAGTCTTGTGAAATATCATTTATCTTCTCCTTCCTTTCCTCTTCTTCTCTCTTCCCCATCTCAAATCACCAGTCAACATGTACTCCTGCATAAAAGTATTCTACAGTACACAGAAGTGTTTACACACATATGCACATATACTTTTTTTTTTCCCCATATACCAAGGTGTGGGGTGAATATTATTTCAAGAACCTGAGTGAGCCTTCTTCCAAATGATGAAATTTCAGGCTTCAGCCCTTGGAGAGGTGATTTGTTTCAACTGCCTAGACCATCTCCCTTTTTGAGGGAGATTACAAGCAGTGTCTAAATAAAGCCAGACTAATTCAAACATCTGCTTTGAAGTTGGCTACTCAGAAGTGAAAATTCATAGAGTTCCCAGATCAGCCTGCATAACGCACAGAGTTCCTATAGTATAAAGCTATATATTTCTGTAACAATTAACCACTATTTTGAGAAACTCAATCCAAGTTCTTAGTTGCAAATCCAGGAATGCTTTCCCCTTTCTTCTGAGACTTTAGGAGAAATAGCAACTGGATAGGGAAAAAGTGAGGTGGGAGGATATGAGGGAGAAGATGCAAAAGCAGATGAGGTAGTTTGGGGGACCAGAACTTTGCTAGATTTCTCAGTTGCATTTGGTCATTTATTCTCAAGCATTCTAGACTGGTGAACAAGGGGCTTTGGGTCAGGGCTAATTTGTATGGTCAGATTGAGGATGTTGAGACTCCTCCATGTTGGCTTATGCAGGTCATCACAAGTTTGGGTACAGAGTGAACCACCACAGAATAAAAATCACAAGACAGCATTTTAATTGGGCTCCTTAGGCCATTTAACAAAGGAGAAAGCTAACTTGCAGGAGCAAAGAGTAATTAATGAAGGGAGCAAACAGAGGTTCATTTAGTAACTTCAAAATAAGTTCCTCTGTCTGAGGTGGGGGAAAAAAAAAAAAAGGTAGCCTGCAACATAAAGATAAACTGTAGGTATTTAAGTCACAATGCCTTCCGCCAAGAACTGCTCATTACCATCAGATGTTGCGGTAGCAGTGGGGCCAGTTAGAACTAACTTTATTATTAGAAGCAATTAGGGAGAAAAGGGGCAGAATTTCATTTGGTTATTTCAAAACAAGTTTCTGTGCACGGTTTAATGAAGGCCTGCGGTGTCAAGATAAAATGTGTGTTTTACTGAAAACAGCTTTTGCAAATGACTGCTTGTTACCAGCGGTATCTCCAGGCAGAGCAGGCTGGGTAGGTTGGATTTACATGCGTGCTGTAATATAATAGTTCAGCTGTCTCAGCTTCACCCAAGTGTTAACAGGCAATATGGACTGATGGTTAGGCACATGTGTTCTGGAGCCAGACTGTCGGTCTTCAAATCCTCACTCTGACCTTGATAGCTGAATGACGTTAAGTGACCTTCTGGAATGTTCTATGCTTAGTTGGCTCATAGGTAAACTGGAGATCTTAGTAGTGTGTATCTCACAGGACTGTTGTGAAGTATCAATGTGTCTAATATGTGTTAGATGTTGCATCATGAAGAGCTATATTCATGAAACAGTTGGGTAGGGATTGTTTTTATAGGACTTGCTATATAGGGGTTACCCTGAGTAAAGATCAATATTGGATCCATTTGCATATTTTTAATGGGGTTTTCATGTAAAAAATGACAACGACATTTGTCTTCACAGTTTTCACCTAAACTCCTTTCAGACAATATTTCAGTATTTCTATACAATTCACATGTTATAAAGAGATTTGATTGCTTTTTGGATTTGGTAAACCAGTGGTGTACCACATACATTACTTCCACTTTTAGGACTTTTTATTTTTTCCTAAGCTTGAGTTCTCTCCTTAGGAATCACCTGCATAGCCTTCAACTCTTCCCTCATCTACAAGCCTGGACTAAAAGAAACTGCTATGTATCAAGCTTAGGAGACCATTTAAAAAACTCAACTGTCACACAACAAATGGGGAGTTGGGCTTTGGCTTCCTTCTAAATATCTTTTTGAGGCTACTGTGACCACAGTAAAAGAAATCTCTCACCAGTGGTTTCAAAACTCTGCCCCAACTGCCCTACTCTTCAGTGAGAGTATGTGCTGCCTTCAGTGATTTTTCAGAGACTCCTTCATTAAATTCTCAAGGTTAAAGACTGATTTTCATCAGATGGCTACAATATTTGCATATTCACTTGGGAATATGGCACACTGCTTACCCATTATGTTTTAGTTCTGCAAATCAATAACATTTAACTAATGTGCCATGCACATAATATTGGACCCGTATGATGAATAAAACCCCCTTCTTAGACCTTAATGAGCAATGACTATTATTAAAATCTATTCATTTTGGAGAAGGCTAAAGTAGCAAAATGCCCTCTACACATTTAAGTGTTTTCTCAGCTGTGTATTAACCCATATCATTTTGCTGGCTGCCCTAACTTAATTTATGCTAATTTGAATAATTTATATAAGAACCTCTTTCATAGAATTTTAGACTTTACCCTACAGATTATGAGAAAGAAAAAGTTAAAAATACTGACAAGTATATATTGTTGGGATTCTCCCCTAAAGTCTGTGTGTTCTTGTTCAGTGTGAGTTTTCAAAAGAGGTTCAGGTGAATATTTATTTTCTCTAACCAAACTGTCTACTTTTTTGAGTACCTTTTTTTTTTTTTTTTTGGCAATCACATTGTAATGAGAGAATTTCTTCTTAAAAGACTCAGTGTTAAAGAATGGTTTCATCAGAGCTTTTGATACCCATTCAGAGTTGTTTCTGTTAGAAAGTCAGAACTTAAGGAAGGGTAGATTCTGAAAAGAATAAAATATGCAACATAAGGACTACCTGAGGAAAGATGTGAAGAAGGAGAAGGTAGATATTCTTACCCTGGATCGTTCTTCTAGTTTTGTCATCATCACAACTGTTGCACTCCGTTGCTCCCATATCATCCTCCAAAAGTCCCCAAATGTTTCGGGGAGAGATCCCTGTGTTGCAATATAGGCATTTTGTTTCCTATACCCATCTATGTAGTTGGCATTCACATAGTCACTTCCTGGGATGCCTGTAAAACAAGAAGTATTATTCTATGAGGTGAACCTCTCATAAGAAAAAAACAGCCTGGGATCTGGTGTGAGGGCAGTGTTATATTACTGTTCTGCACTATGCTAGAGGAATCAAGGGTTAATAGCAGAGCCGTGGTCTAGAGGTCAAAACAGGCAATAACCACATTAACAAACAAGTATATAATTACAATGTGTCTTAAGCAAGATAAAGTCTCATTGGGACTATCACATTAAAGAAATAGGTGGTCCAAGCATTGGATCTCTGTAATATGACAAGGTAGATACCAAAGAAAGAAAACTACAACTGATTATCCATACAGTGCTATTTTTCTCACACACTGTCTATTTTCTCCACTGCATCAGTAAAATACAGCATGCAAAGGAGGAGAGAAATTTATCTGGTCACATTCCTCACCCATGCTATACCACATTGCCAGACAGAAATGAAATAAAATAATGCCTGAGTCTGAAAATGCAGTGTAGGTTAGAGCATGTGTAACAGTGAGAAATTCTGCACAAATTTAGCTAACAGGGAACTCATTTGCAAACTCATTTAATCCTTAAAACAACTCTATGAAATATATCCTGTCAGGATCTTCCTTTAACAAAGGAGAAAACGGAGGTGCATAGAGATGAAAGCTCTTGCTCTGACTGGTGGAATCTGGTTTAATGATAGTCTGTCTGTCTGCTACAACTGTCTTAGTCTCCACAGAGATTGCTTCTTGTTTAAACCTCACAGTACTGTTGTACTATGTGCACCTTTCTTGGATTATGACGATTGCCTCTTAATTGCTTATCCTGCTCTACTTTTGTCCTTTGCAGTCTGCTCTTCATCTAGCATGAGAGCAATTTCTAAGAAAATATTTCAGACACTATAACTTCTTTCCTTCAAACCCAACAATGGGCTTCCCTTTTACTTCCAAAAAAAACTGAACTCTCAACTATAGTTACAAAGCTCCACACTTTTCCAAGCACATCTTGTTCTACTCACCTCCTTGCCTTCTAAACTCTAGATGCTGGTCTAGCTTCTACTGGTAGGAAACACTGCTCTCCTACCTCAGTGCCATCGCCATCTTAGAACACACTCTCTATCTCCTTCCTGTTGTAAAACACTCCACCAATATCTCAGAAACCCTGCCTTTGATACTCTTGGAGCCCAGAACTTCCTTGACAACTCTTTATATTATTTACTACACATTGTAATTATATACTATTTTGTTAACATGATTATTTTCTGTTTTGACCTCTAGACCGGGTCTCAGTTATTAACCCTTGCTATCTCCAAGGACAAAAATAAATTTGCCCCAGTTCTGACATCTAATAAGTAGCAGAGCTTGAATTTGATGCTGGTGTTCTGATTGAAAGTCTAATTCACCTTTAAGAGGAATATAGATAAATTTGAGCTTCTTCCAAGGAGAGTGACCAGAGAGGTTAAGGAAATCAAAGCTGTTCTGTATGAGAAAGGAATACATGGTACACCTGGCAGAGGAAAATGTAGGGGTTGGGGATGACAGCTGCCTGTGAGGATCTGAAGAGAGGGTTAGGTTTACTCTATTGAGATCCAAATTTTTCAATTCTGAACGATGTTACTACAGACAGAAGAATTTCATCTCCAATATAATAAAGCATTTTCAAATTGTCAGAATCAAAAAGGGAATAGATTTCCTTGGGATGAAAGGAGTTGCCTATCCCCGGAGGGGAACAAACACTTTACATGGCTACTGGCAAGATACAAGAGGTAGCACTAGAACCTGTATGTGGCCTCTTCTTGCCCTGGGAAAAATAGGAGTCCTGGAGCTATGAGAAAAAAAAAAAAAAAAAAAAAAAGGAATATTTTCTTTATAATGGAACATATGTTCCCAAGCTAAAATTGTTATATTTCACTGATTGCCACTTGAAATTACTTTGACTGCTTTTCTGATTCCACTTGTAAAACTGATCCTCTCAAAAAAGTAATGAAAGTCAGATGGGAACTACTGGGCTCTGAGATAAACACATGGATATGGAATACCACCAGCATTAGTGAAAGCCTTTTGAGTAAAAACCTAAATGCACGGTTGGTTGTAACAGTATTCATCTATTACAGCTACTCAAGAAGCAGTTGGGGGTTCTGGCAGCCCTTTGTTGATAAAGATCCTATTCTTCCAGACACCAAATTACTATAGATTCAAAAGACAGTTTAAATAAAGTCCTCAGGTTACAGCCACTGGGAAGCACACACAACCTCAGGTCCATAGAATTTGGTTCTGAGCCAACAATGAATCTATTTTTAATACAGGAAAAGCCCACTTTCAAAATTTTAATTTAATAGTTAACAACATTAAAAAATTGATTTAAAAAAAGGATTCTGGTGAAAGGCATCCCTCAGCTACCAATATACAGAAAAGTTTTTTCCAAGCAAATTTAAAACAGAGAAATCTGGGTTAATAGCTTAGAAAATCCATCAGCTTGGCATTGTGCCATTTCCCCCTTATGAAGGATAATGATTATATCTGAATAATGTGTCAGAGAACAGAGGAGATGGACTGGAGACTCACATCCAAAAGAAGGGAATCAGCCCTGCCCAACATTCTTATGTAAAATTTAATCATTTATTATGTAATGAATTGTTTTTGACATAGTGCTTAAGTTTGCATAATAAATTATGATTTTTTTTTTAGGGGTGGGGGAAATTGTGGGGGTGGGTTGCTACTCAATAATACTTGTCCTTCCCAAGGATAAAAATACAAAAAAAAAAAACTGCCTGAAAAATACTAGGCACTTGGGATCTGTACTATATCACCAAATGCTTTAAGAATTTGGGACCTGATATTTTGAAAAGCAAGTTAAAAAGAAAAATTTCAGTACCTAGTGGAGTTAATTATTAGGCTAATGTTTACACCTTGAAGATAATGCTGAGGCTCCTTTTCTATTTTGACACTCATCTGAGTGAAGGCCTCCTTCCAGGAAATCTCTTTATATGCTCCAGCAAAAAGACATTCCAGGTAAGTTTTCTCCCATACAAACTTTACAAGATGGGGAAGTGAGAGATGACTATGTATCTGTAGCTCTAAGATCTAATGCATCTGCATTTCATACAACCCAAGCAACAAACTGTGTAGAAAGACGAATATGAAAAGATTTTAGGAAAGGTGGTGGTTTGGCTTTTTAAAAACATTCACTGCAGATTGGGAACTAAAGTTGAACAGAAGTGTGTTTCAAGTAGATGAGATCTTAGTTTTCGCTATACCATATTTAGAAAGATTTTTCAACCAGTCTTGTGAGAAAAACAACATGGTGACTTTCCAAGTGTTTTGGTGCCATGAAATGTTTAGCTCGTGATTGTAATGTTTCTGCTGGCAGGCTGAATCTAGAAAACCCTATCACTTTTTGGGGGGTGACCTTTCCCAAGTAATGTATATTTGTTTTTTTAATTTTCAATTCCCTGCCTTATCCAGAAGATGATTTGCATCTGCTAATGCAACACTAATCAGAGTGCACTACTAATCCAAGAGAAGTATGTGAGATTAATTGAATTTCTCTGGGGCTATGATGGATGGAAATCTTTGTTAAGTTAACATGAAGTACTGAAAGTATATAGAATTAATATAAATTAGCTGATTGCTTTTAATTTTTAGAGTCAAGGAGACCTTTGTCCAACACTATGATAATAATGGTGCTAGTTGCTTGCTTTCTTTCTTTCTTTTTTTTTTTTGGGGGGGGGTGGGGATGCCTATTAAAACAATGAAAGCATAACAAACATGTCTGCCTTTAGCTCACCATAAGCAAATATCTTAGGTCTGGCCTTGCTGTAGGAATTGTCTCTCTTGGAGTCAGTTGGTCTTAATGTCTTCATTCAAGAATAGCTTACTACCTTTATAAAAGTAAGTTTCATGATTTCCCATGTATTACTTCAAGTGTACTCTTCCCTTACCAATAGTCATGTAATAATAGACCCATAATTATCACTCTAATCTTATAAGTGAGAAAGTGGCTGAGGCTAGATCTTGAATTCATCTTACACCTCTATGTCCCTTTTCTGTGTTATAGCATGTTTCATCAGGTAATGGACTGTTCTTTCTTGTGGTGCTGCAAATATTATTTACATGCTTATACTGGGTTTTGTGTTTGGGGCAAAGAAAACTTGGAGCTATAAAACACAAGTCTATAAGAACAACAGAGACTGTGAAGAGATGAATGGTGGTAGAGCTGAGCTTCTATGTCCTTCATGCATAGCAAGACACAGCAACAACTACTTAAACAGAATTAGGACAGTTTTAAGTTCTCATTTCATTTGCTGGGAATTGCTGGTTATAGTTTTCAGTGGAAAGTAAGTCTAGGCACAGACTTTGAGCTCTGCTGTTCTTTTAATTGTTTGCAAAGCTTTGGAAAAGTATCATGAATTCAATGTGCAAGGACAATGCCATTTTTCTTCACCTAAGCACAGGATTAATAGAATAGGGCTTTATGACATTGGTCCCACATGTGTTTGAATCGTAACAGAAAGAGAGGAATCCTTGGAAAGACGAAGCTACTCTGAAAGAATATTTGTGATGAATAGACAATTCTTTATGCTGAAGACATGACATAGAAGACATAGACAATTCATGCTTTAAGATCTTGAAAGCATGTTGAACTGTCAGTGAATACATGATCTGAACTGTTTCATCATGACTGGGTTAAAATATTTTTTTTATTCCTGTTAACTTGAGGAGGACTAATTGGGTCATATGGGCCTATTAAAACAAAACAAAAAAATAAGGGGTGCCTAGGTAGTTCAGTTGGTTAAGCATCTGACTCTTGATTTCATGTAAGGCTGTGATCTCAGGGGAGTGAAATCGAGCCCCATATTGGGGTCTGGGCTGGACATGGAGCTTGCTTAAGATATTCTCTCTCATTCCCTCTCCTTCTGTCCCCACTTAAAAAAAACAAAACAAAACAAAAACACAAACACACAAAAAAACCAACTTGCCTTGCTCTCAATTTTCCAGTCAGGAGATAATTTGATTCAAAAAGATTT